CTATGGCTCCGTGTGGCTCCGTGAGTCAACGGGACATTGTGGACATACTTGGTGATCTGGGGTAGGTGTTACCATGACTCCGGGCAGGATGAGCTGACCCCTCCAGCTGCCTCTTGATCTCCCAGAGACCACTTCAGCCAGTGTTTTAAAAATCCACTCTTGGGGCACCCGAGTGGCTCTGTCGGTTAAGCGTCCGACTTCGGCTCGGGTCATGATCTCACAGTTTGTGAGTTCGAGCCCCGCGTCGGGCTCTGTGCTGACAGCTCGGGGCTTGAAGCCTACTTCACATTCTGTGTTTCCCTCTCTCTCTCTGCCCCTCCCCCACTTATGCTCTCTCTCTCTTTATCTCTCAAAAATAAATACATAAACATCGAAAAAAAATCCACTTACATCTGACACAAATTCCACCTCTTTTTTCTTCCACACCACACTGCACTTATCCGCCTAAAACCGTCTTTTCAGGAGCATCTGATGCTCTGCAAACCAACTCACCCCTCAGCCCAGCCTGAGAGGCAGGCCTGTAGCTTGGGAATGGCCACAGGTGGCATTTACACCTGGTATAATTCTCGTGAGAGCTGTGTGGTCACTATGACTGGTGAACCACTGAATATTTATCAGGTGCCCCCGCCCGTGTGTGATTCCATTTTCCCATGAAGAAAAGATAGTGGGGCTGGCTGAAGAGGAAGCTGAGGTGGGGGCAGGGCCCGTTTGTGGAGAGCTGCGCGGGCCCTAGCAGAGTTTAGATTTTATGCAAAATGCGGTGATTGCAAGGCTTAATGAAATGAAGGGCCTTGAACCAAGTTACATTTTCGGAAGCGCTTTCTGGAGAATGGACGGTGGTCGTGGCAGGTGAGTGGGGACAGGCCGCATTCCCATTGGAGATACGTCCTGGAGGTACAACTGAGGAACCTACTGATGGATTGGACCCCCTCCTGTTGCAGATTCAGGAAAGGCATAGACAAGGGCCAGCCTCAGAGTGAGTACGGCGGGGAGGCTGGGGCCCCAGCCTAGTTCCGGTGGTGTGCCTCGTCGTGAAGGCTTTGAGGGATGAGTGCAGACAACTGAATCCAGCCCCACCTTAGAATTTCATGGACCCTGTGCCTGCTGCACTGTTTCGCCCAGACCCTCAGGCTCCCTGTGAGCTGGTTTAGGCCAGGCCCGATGGCCCTGCCTCAGTCCCACTGAGTTCCTTAGCAGCAGCTAAGGGAGCTTTGTTTCCATTTTGCCCAGGAGATGACCCACAGTTAAATAACTCAACAGCGGGCAAGACAGATCTCAAACACATTCCGAAAGACCAAAGGGTTGTGGGGAGGCAGAAATCAAGAAATACTGGAACCCTATTTCCTCCAGTTCCTCATCGTGTGGGCTTCTGGGAGAGAAGGGTAGACTCTGTCCTTTCTCTGAAAGAGGACTGTAGGAACAAAGCATCCTTTCCCCATCCCTCCTTTGGTAATTTCTGGAAGCGAAAGGACTTATCTTTATTGACTAAACATTGTCAAAAATAACTAGATACTAAAATAAACACAGGCCTCACTCAAAACCACGAAGCCAAAGAGGCTGACCTCAAAGTCGCTTACCGTGTGAGTGTCTTACCCATTGTCATAGCTTCTGAGCCTCTCCAGACCCCACGGCCAGTGGTAAAGGGAGGCTGGGTTAGAGTCTATAGCTTATTACCCAATATCTCTCAGCAAGATGACTTTAGCCCAAGAACACATGCCTAGGGCCTGTTAGTCTTGGCCCGTCTAAGGCTGGAACTTGGAGGAAGAGTGAAAATCCTACTTTGTTTCAACCTCCCATATGGCAGAAGCAGGAAGTGGTTTGTTTGATCCTGAGCAGACTAAAGGGGCCCCCGCTAAAATTTAGGCTGAGGTTCCTCATCCTTCTTGTTGAAGCCCTTCCCAAGCAAAAACCAATATCCTTCCAATCTTCTGGGTGTTTGGAGTTGCCTGTTTGCTTGGGTTTTGCCATCAGTGTGGAATTTCTTTTTGTTTGTTTTTTACAACTTTCCCCAAACTCAAAGAAATGTCATTGGAACCTCTGGCAGCTATTGCCTCTCAATCACAGAGCACCCGGTGAGCAAATCTACCCCCCATCCCCCACCCCAGGTGTCTGTCTGCCTCACCACAGCTCTGGATGGCATCTGCGTCTGGAAGAACATTACCTAGATAGGATCACTGGGCGGCGGTCAATAAATTCTCGAAGCCGGATGGCAGCCATGGTGGATGGGAGTCTAAAAAACATTACAGAGTGAAGGTTTATATTGCAAATGTATACACACTATGTACTATATCACATATACACTAGACACACAGTCCACTTCCATGTGACAGCTGTCTAGTGCCACAAAGTCTGTCTGGAAAGAAATAACAGTAAGAAAATTGAAGAGTAAGGAGACTATACATGGCTTCTTGTAGACCACTTAGGGAAGGAAAGAAACTAGTAAAGGGGGAAAAAAAGTGGAAAGCATAAGCCGATATGGGCGTGCCTGGGTGGTTCAGTCGGTTGAGTGTCCAACTCTTGATTTCAGCTCATGTCATGATCTGACGATTGTGGGATTGAACCCTGTGATGGGCTCTATGCTGAGGAACCTACTTAAGATTCTCTCTCTCTCCCTCTGCCCCTCTCCCTGGCTCATGCCTGCTCTCTCTCTCTCTCTAAAAGAAAAAAAGGGGGGGGAGGGGCCAAGATGGCAGAGCAGCGTGACATTCTCTGCCTCTCCCATCCCTGAAATGCAACTAGATCAGCAACGAACCATTTTGCACACCTAGAAAATTGATCTGAGGATTAACACAACAATCTGCGAAACTTGAGCCACAGAGGTCAGCAGGAATTCACCCTAAAAGAAAAAAAAAAAAAAAAGAAACTACTGTGCAGTTGGGTCTTTAGTGTCTGTTCCCACCCTTCTTAGGTGCCTTCCTACCGCACTGGCTCATGGGCTTTGCATTACATGTCCAGACTCCCTGGCACCTAGACCTCTGGATAGGATTTCGACTCCTCCAAATCCGACAGATCGGACTGAGATCTGGAAGGCAGAAACGAGGCAGAGGCCATTTCCTGCTGCTCGTGAAGCTGTGTGTGGTGAGTGTCTGCAGCACAAGGCAGGGGCTGGTCTCCAGCACTGGGTGTCATGAAGCAAGTGCATCGAAGACAGTGACTGAGGCCACATTCTGGGGTTCAAACACCATCTTTAGGAGTATGGAGCGAGCACCGCAGTGGCCGTGCTGGTGGCTTTGGGAGTAGGTTCTGGAAGCAGCTTCCGGAGTAGGGCACAGGTAGCTGCTCCCATGTTGGGTCAGTGTTGTGGAGGCGTTCTAGAAGCTTCCTGGAGGCCTTCCCCAGAGTCTGCTTCTCATTGTCCCTCTGGTGATTTTTTAAGGGCCTCACCATCGACATCGAACTCTTTCTTTTTCCTAGACGTAAACATACAATCTAGATTGTTTCTAGCCTACAATTCACATTGCAGCTGATTATCTCCCGTAGAGGAAGACTTTCAGCGGAAAACCACTACACATGAGTATTCTCTTGAGAAACAGTCCACGATGGGAAGAGAAACGGAGTGCCTGGGAGACAGAGGTGGGAGAAAGCCTTACTTTTTTAGTTTACCGTTGGGGTACCTCATCAATTCTGTACCGTGTGTTTGTATTATGCGTATGCGCAGACCGCTGGGCCTGTGTCTGCATAAGTGGGGTAAAGAATAGCACAGCAGTGGAATGTCTGACTGATACCCACGTGGCTAGAGGAAATGGGGAAAGTCGTCTCCCCGCAGGGGACCGGATGTGTGTGTCCCCTACCCCTGAGCTCCTTAAATTCACGTGTGAAACCCTGATCCCAAAGCGGTGGTGTTTGGAGGCGGGGCCTTTGAGAAGGAAAGAGTGCAGGGACCCCACGAATGGAACTGGTGCAGACCGCAGAGGGCTCACTTGCTCTCTTTTGTCTCGTGAGGACACAACAGGAAGTCGGCAGCCTGCAACCCGGAAGAGGGGTCTCAGCAGAACCCCCACCGGGCTGGCGCTCGGATCTCGGCCTTCCAGCCTCTAAAAGTGTGAGGAATACATTTCTGGTGCTTGTAGACCACCCAGGCCACGGGAATTTGTTACAGCGGCCGGAACAGACTAAAGCAGCTGCTCTGTGTTTTGATGATTACAATACCTATCTGGAGGGTTAAGGGAGGCAATAATGCATGTGTGTGTGTGTGTGTGTGTGCTGTACACAAAACAGCACCTTTGCGAACAGAGAAATATGAGTTTCTATGTATGGGCGTGTACTATGTGTCAGGTGACATGAAACCCGCTATTTTATGGACCAAAAAAAAAAAAAAAAGTACTGGGAAATAAGTTGTACAAGGACACTGAGCAACCAGGATGGGGATCCATTTGGTTCCAGAAACATTTGACTACTATGCTACATCGCAAAAACCACAGAGCGCCCAGACCATCAGCCAAAACAAAAGCGGGACAGCCCCCAAAGAAGCAGTAACCTTCTTTGGTTAGGAGATAGGTCGGAAAGCAAGTGCGTGGTGCCTCCTTCTTCCCTTTTCTAGTCAAAACTAGTCCACGGACCATTCACAGGCCAGCTAGCTGCGTTATTTTGCCTCTGAATGTATTTTTCAAGCAGCTTGAACATTTTCAGGCAAGATTATATTAGAATAGTTTGGCTATCCAGTGGAGTCTGCTCATTATGTAATCTGTGTTTTTCTTTTAGTGCTAGTGTGATTATTAAAAAAAAAAGAAAAAAGAAAAAAGAAAAAAACACCCAAGAAGTAGAAAGAACAAAAGAGAAAATCCGAGTAAACACCACTGAGCTCCTGCTTGAACTCGGAAAGCTTTGTGACTGCTGGGATTTTCCTTCACCAGACGTGACATGCCGGAGAGAAGAATGGAAGATATTCAGGACATTTGCGCTTCACTAAGACAACACCGCGTCTGCCTTTTGAGGATAGAGTGATTGCTCAGTGCCTAGGAATTCTGAATCAACACCGGAGGGAATAAACCAGTCCTGGGCTGCCATGCTTTGGCCGGGCCACAAAAAACATTTTCGGAGGAACACACGAACAGCCCACACGGAATCTGAGCTCTCAGAATCATCGGAAGACATTGTCTGGCAATGGTTGCAACCTGTCCTTCTGCATCCCTAGAGAACGGTTGCTACCACATATACAGGCTACCAAGTCACATCTTGTGTGATTACTTGTCATCTCTGGAACAAATAAGAGAATGTAGTTTGCAGTAAGACGTGTCAGTTCGTTTTATTTTAGTCGATCGTGAAAAATAGATTCACATGCCAAATCTGAAGGAGATGATTACGCACGCATGTTAAGCCTGCCATCACTTCCATACTCGCAGCCAACACTGTGCAACCACTGTTCTCGGCACCCTGGACAGTGGAACTTTCATCTCCTTTAAAATACAGACTCTTTGTTGGTCGCTTGAATAGAAGATTCTTCCTCGGAGGTGCCCCAAATAAAATCCTTCCGGGGCAAAGGTGAGTTCTAGCTGGATCCCCATACATACGTTCCATTCCATTTTGAATTAGCCTTAGGGAACCTTAAACATTTTTCTTGTTTTAAACTGCGGGCGTAATTATGCTCAAAGTGAATAATGCTGTAAAATAAGATGAAAATTATCCACAAACTATTTTCATTTTTTATGTTTTATATACATTATATATGTACATACTTAAATACTCGAAACCACGGCAGATCTCCTGTTTTATATTCTCTGCTTTTCACTTAATGAGGTATCATGACATTTTTCCACATTGCTACAGAGTATTCTTAATTCTAATGTTTAAGGTTCCTTTATGTTGTTTGGTGAGGTCCAACCATCACTTTATTTAAAATAGTACCCCATTCCTCTCCCACGCCTGGACTCCTCCCTGTTCTATGTTTTATTTTTCTCCGAAATGCTCATCACCACCTGCTGTACTACATGTTTACATATGTATCTTATTTAGGTCTGTCTCCCCATCGGAAAGTAGTCTCCATGAAGACAGGGAAGTTTGTCTCTTATCCTCACTGCTGCATCCCTAGGGCCAAAGATAAAAATTGGCACATGGTGGACATTTCATAAATATTTATTGAGTAACCGAATATGCCGGAATTTATGAAACCCAGTCCCATAGTACTGGCCATTTTGATCTTGCTGAATATAAATATATTTTGATTCTAGGAAATTCATTCCTTAAGGTACATTGCTAAGAATGAGATAAGATTTGGGCAACTTCACGGCTCTTATTTAGGAGAATTGTAACCACTTCCAATTAATTAATACCGGCACATAAACCACTGCGGTTAGACTCCCAGGGCACAGAAATGAAAGCTTAATAATAGAATTTTTTATTATTCTGATGTTCAGAAGGTGAACTAAGGTACACGAGTAAAAGACGTAACGTTGCAACAAACTGCCTCAACATTAATGTTCAACATACTGAGTTAGAGACAAAGGTATAAGATTTATCTTGTCAACATTTTCAGCAACTTTTTGGTATTACAGAATATATTATGGATCAAATCAGAATTCTGTTAAATAATATAACAGTCAAAAATCTGATAAAACCTATCCATTTATGGCAAAATTTCTTAGCCAACCATGAGGGAAGTTTTTCAACCAGATGAGGAACATCTATAGAAATTTACAGCTAACATCATACTTAATGGAGAAAGACTGATTTCTTCCTAAAATCAGAAATAAAGCAAGGATGTCACTCTTATCACTCCTATTCAACATAATGCAGGCAGTCCTACACAGTACAATAAGGCCAGGGCAAGACATATAAGGCATATAGATGGAAAGGAAGAAAACTTTCCCTATTTACAAATGATATAATAGTTTATGTAGAAAATCCCAAGGAGCCTATGAATAAATAAATAAGCTTATTTATTTATTTTGAGAGAGAGAGAGAGAGAGAGAGTGCACATGAGCTGGAAGAGGGGCAGAGAGAGAGAGAGAGAGAGAAGGAGAGAGAATCCCAAGCAGGCTCCATGCTCCACACTGAGCCTGACACGGGGGCTCAATCTCCCCACTGTGAGATCATGACCTGGACTGAAATCAAGAGTTGGATGATAAGTCCAGACAACTGAGCCGCCCAGGCGCCCCAAAACAAATAACGTTTTTAACAAGATCATAGGATACAAGGTCAACACACATAATTATATTTCTATACTTTAAATAAAAAATTGGAGCCCAAAATTTAAAACACAACTATTTATAATAGCTCAA